TGAAAAATTTTATGATGCACACCAATATAAAGTACATACAATAAATGCGAATATATCACGGTATTGCATGCAAAAATCCGTATATAAATTCTGCAACCACCTCAGCACGAATCCTTGGAGAGGCTGATTTAATTCCCACACTGTGACTGAAATCTAGAAATTCTGTCATTCTTGACTGACTGAGTTCCCGCAGCGTTTTATTTTTTTACTATGCAATATAAACTTATTCCCTGCGATTCACCGGCAACAAAACCTCATGATCTACATTTATCATTTTCTTATTGTCATATTTTTGTCATTATTGTTCTGACTTCTGCCTGAAATTACTCTGATTTTATCAGATTTGATTAGCTACAAAACAATGATCACTGAAATCGCATGTACCAAGCCACCTTATGACGTTACAAAAGTACAAATTTGGGTTTAGTTTTCTTTCAAGGCAACAAAACATAGGCTAAACGAACATCATCTTTCATGTACTCACGTACACGTTCAGCATAGAAAAAAGGTGCCGGAACTCACATCTTGTTAACGTTAGCAACAAACCCGCATACAGGTTTTAACGATTTTTCCGCCGACCTGCTATTTTCGACAGAGCGATTCAAATCCACTTGAATCATCAAATTTTCAAAAGTTAATAAAAAACTTGAAAATACGTCGAAAAAAAGTCTCGGAACGCCGTTCCGGTGCTTTCTAGGACAAGCAAAGCAGTGGTATGTAGTACAGTAGATCTGATCAACTGCACAACAGACGACAACACCGTGTCGCTTAAGAGTATGTAGAAGAATCATTATAAAAAACTGCACTAGAAACAGTAATAACAGTACACGACACGGTTTATTTATATACAACGTAGATTTGTCAATCGGAGGAATTACCAGTACCGACGTTTCAGCCCATGTCTCCTGACCATGTTCAAGGTACGGATATGGATTGGCTTAGCACTTTCACAGTCACAAGGGTCATACGAACAGCTGCAAACGCTAAATAGGACCTCCTACACTAACTCACCTTCCCACCTCGAAAAAGGAGCGTGAG